ATTCCCGGGGTTGACCAGCGCTGAGGAGTTGGCTGGAGCTCCGATCTTGGGGACATACTCCAGGCGTAGAGCGCACCTTGAGCAATGCTTCCATTGACCCCACTTGTTGGAGTGCCACTTCATGGGAATGTGGTTCCCCACGCATGGCCATTGAGTGCGAAGGCTCCTGGGGTCGCGAGGGTCCATGGGAACAGTGCGATCCCAATCCATGTCCTTGATCTCGGTCGTCTTGGGCGCCATGAGCTTGAGAGCGAGTAGGGGATGTCGTCGATGAGCTTTTGGGAGCGAGTGCGTTTCCCATAAGCCGAGCTTGCTGCCGTGGAGATGGAGTGACATGTCGTTGCCACAGCTGCAAAAACAAATGACGACTCTTTGAACTCCTTTGTGGTGAGATGACTGTATGTTCACTCTCATGTGATTGAAGTTGCAATGGACACATCATGTACTGCAACGAGTGCGACGTCATCGAACGAGACCTGGTGGGTGGTTCATCTTCTTCTTGAAGGGGGTTGATGACCTGAACCGTAGGAGATCCCACATAGTTGGTCTTGCCACCCGTGATGAAGTGAACCAGGTCGATCATATAGTGGCTCTTCCCATTGCGTGGTAGTTGAACTGGTTCATCTTCATCAAGGGCTGCGCAAACTGCGAGGCCATCACTAAAATCAACTATCATGCCATTGCCCTTCATGAAATCCATTCCCACCAAAACTGGAACCAGCATGTGATCTTGGAACCAGGGCTGTGTGATTTCCTCCGGATCGGGGAGTGCGAAAGCTTGAAACGTTCGAGCGGAGGTGCTGGACTTGATTTCCAAGTGGTATTGGGCTCGTCCCCACTTTCCCGATCCATACCTGAAGCGAGGTCGGTTTTGACCATCCACCTTGATCTGAGCGGCGGAGTCTTTGGTGAGAACCGCCTGCACAAGCCGCTTGAAGGACTGCTCAGGTCCTGCGCTACAGGTGGCACCGCTGTCAAGCATGCCATAGCAAGTAGTGCCTGCGCTCACTGCAGCCATGTCCAGGTCGCCATCGTTGGCCTGGTGTTCTTCAGCAGCTTGTAGTTCGAACTGCAGGCCATAGTAGTCGTGGATGTCGGCCATGTAGGCGTTGACATTGTGGTTGCCCTTGGACTTTGATTTGCCTTTGCCCTTGAAGTTGAAGGCATTGGCGTAGTAGTCCTCCACCATGTAGGCCTGTTTGCCTTTTCCTTTTCCCTTCTTGCCCTTCATGGGCATAGCGTAGGTGTAGCCCCAGTCGTCCTCCATGTAGTGAAGCCATCGACCTTTTCCTCCACCAAAACCTTTAGGTTTTCCTTTCCCTTTTGGACTGTTTCTGTCGGGACAGTCCTTGGCCATGTGTTGGTGGCTGCCACAGACAAAGCATCCAGTGGAAGCCGATGAAGATGCCGCACCAAAGCCGCGATCCTTCTTCATGAGCTGTGTGGCTCGTTGAGCTTGGCTCCATGAGCGACCGTTGTCCAGAGCCATGGCGTCGGCGTCACCTTCAATTCCTTCTCCATCACCATCACCAGCGGCGTCAGGTTCTCCTCCATGTTCATCCCATTCCCAATCATCCCAAGTGACGGGTGTCATCCAGGAAGAGTCCCAAGTAGGTTCCCATTCGTAGTTCCATTCATCGTCCTCCTCCAGGTTGAAGATCTGAGGTTGGTGATGACCAGGATGAACTTGTCCAGGACGTTTCGTGAAGTGCTCGTCGTAGAGGATCTCGAGTGCGGACACGACGGAGACATAGTCCAGCTTGTTGTTGGTGCTGGCCAGAACTGAGCGCCATTCTTCTGGTGAAAGGGCTGCGGCCGTCAACAATCTCCATCCACGGAGCTGCTCCAGGATGAAGCTGTCCATGTCCGAAGAGGATTCACCAACTTCTCGTCGAGTTGAACGAGCTGGAGATCGAGGTGGTGGATCATCAGGATCCTCAGTCGGGACCTTCTCGTAGGCTTTCTCCTTCTTGGGGCTGTCCTCGTCCTCGTCATCGTCGTCCTCCTCGTCATCCTCCGGGATGTAGAAGGTCTCAGGTCGGCCACTTCGTTCATCCTTGAGGAGCTGCAAGGCCTCCTTGAACTCCTCAAAATGAAGTGACTCTTTGACCAGGAAGGTCGCGATGGATTCTTGGGCTCCTCTCCGAAATGAGAGGTATTGACTCATCACGGAGGCTGTGTTTGGAAGCTTTCTCCTCACCAGGGGCGACAAAGAGAGCTTCTGCAACAGTCGTTGGAGTCCTTGAGGTCCCATGAACTCCTGTTGATCCCAGCCCATGGCAAGTAGTCGGGCAGGACCACTGAGCTTCGCAAGGACCCTTGGAGCGAGGAACTTGCGGACACCAGGCTTTGATCCCATGGCGTACCATGAAATCTCCTTTTGGAAGCGTCGCCATGTCCTGGGGTTGCCGTCCCAGGAAGGCACAGAAGAGTCTGCAGCCACAACCTTTTCCATTGCAGCGGCCGTACAGCAAAATGCGTGTACTTTGAGAAGTCGGGGCTCGGTGTGAAGAGCTCCTCAATGAAGTGGGTCTCAACTAAGTTGAGGAAGTGCAAAAAGAAGTTGAAGAGCTCCGCGAAGAACTCCTCGGTGAAGAACTGGCGTAGGGCCCACGTAGAGCTCCACAAACAAAAGGGTCGAGATCTTGTCTCGAGAGAAATGCGTCTGGTCAATTACCAGACTTTGCCTTGGCCTGCTCTTTGTCGTCCGTGTCCTTGGAGACCTCGGCCTTGAAGTCACCTGCAAGCCCTCCAGGGAGAAGAGAGCGTGCACTCACCTCCGAAGTGCCAAAAACACCTGCCCAGGGTTCTCGCTGTCCTGTAGGCCTCGAAGACGAAGAGGGTTCCGCCTTTGCCACAGGATCTTGCCGTTCCTCAGGAGCCTCCTCCAGGTACCTGGCGTAGGCCTCAGGTCCAGTGGTAGGAAACTCAGCCAGTGGTCGGGCGTGTCGGTCCCGAAAGGGGAGGTTTGGCCTTCTCGGAGAGCGTGACCTCGACCGTGAAGAAGTCCTGTAGGCCACCAAGACACCGTTGTCGTCCCAGATGTTGGAGGGACTTCCCTTCCTCTTGCCACCGCCCTTCGTGATGAGGTACTCGGATCGCAGAGGCCACCAGAGTCCTCGTCAGGAGCGATGAGCAGGAAGATCTGCAGTGCCCAGGATGGAACACTGCTCCGCTACCAACGCGGTAGCCAAAGTAGGGCCTTTAGGAGTGCCCTAGACCCAAACCAACCGTAGACCACGAAGAGGTCGAAGACGGAGCGGAAGCCACACCAAGTGGCCGAAGCGAACACGAGCGTAGCCGCACAGAGCAGCTTTTCTCACAGGTTCGAGCCGGAGGCTCAAGGCCTGAAAGGCCAGGTGCACATGTCATGCGAGCTTGAAAGCCAAACATGGAAAAACCGCTATCGCAACCTCCTATGTTTCACGGTTGTAGAACGTCCTAGGAACAAGTGCCTTACTAGTAGTAACAAGAAGCTAGTAGAAACAAGTGCCACGC